ATCTTGGCTGAAACTGACAAAAGCAAATGGCACACAGATGATGAAGATGGACAAAACTGGATTACATTTTGCTATCACTATACTAGGTCATACCCTCTGATGCCTGTGGAGTTTCACTAGATCAGAGGGTCCAAGCTTTTTGTTAGGCATGCCACAAATTAAACCTTATTGCCTCCCAGAGTGCCACTCCAATTCCTACCCTCTGCCTGATCTGCTGCTGGTCACCTCCGCTTTAGACTTATATTGGTTTAACAGGCAGTAAAATTTGACCCATCGTCTATCATGTAAGCAGTCACATGTGGTCCTATTCTTCATATGTATTCAGTATTGTGGTGAGAGCTATATTTGTCAGAGAATTCCAATGGCTTTTGCCCTTTTGTTCATGATTTAAGAACAATAGTGTCTTAAATGCAGCATTGGGGGGTGGGAGAGAGGGGTAGAAAGATAAAGCCTGAAATAATGTGTCATATGGAGATAAGTGACTCCAAACAGATGTAATTTAGCATTATTGGCAAACCAAGAAAATAATGATCCATAGCAGAGAAGGAATTGTTAACTCCTTCTCCAGGTGTCTGAAAGAAACATATTAATGAACTGTGTCAACTGAAGAATATAAAAGGTATTGTGCCTTATAGGAACAATGTTCTTGTTAAAGGTATTGTAGCATTGATACAGCAACAAGATCCCTCATAGTACAATGGAGAACAAAGAACCGGATGAATAGCTAGTATGATAAGTGGAAGCAATTTTAAAGAGAGAGAACCAGGGAAAGCAAAGTGATATTTTGCCAGGGCTAAAGCTCTGTTTCAAGCAGACACAGCACATTTCATATTTCCACCCTCAGACCAACCAGCAGGCTGAAATCATTAACTTTATCAACGATTAAGTTTCATATCTATCTGTGAACATTTTCCACTATACAAGTTTTGCAGTGCTGCAACCTGTCCTTCACTGCTTAAGTTACGATGACAGTACCATAGCACTGTGGAATACTATATTTTAGAAGCACTGAGAGAGTTTGAGAAAAACCACCTAGCAAGCAAGTAACCTTGTCACAGCAGAAGGTCAAAGAAAATTGAATTAAAGTCAAAAGAAATTCTCTCTCCTCTCCATTCATGCTTAGAGGCAGAAAACATTCAAAAGATCTCCCTTGGCGTTGTGTTTCTACTCTTGCTTTCCCCCTTCCACCAGGCTGCATCTTGCCATGTCTGGCCTTAGCCCCTACTAAAGTCAACTTTCAGGCAGCAGGCAGCATTTTACTAGATCAATCTCTGTATTTCTTTTGAATTATAAGGTGAGCTGAGCTCATGTTCCAACGGACATAAATGTATGCACTGTCAGTTTCTGAGAGCTGGGTCAAACTGTCATTCACTGAAATTCAGGCCTCCAGTCTTGCTCCCCTCATACAAAGGCCATGACCGATGGAGCATAAACCTACAGGACTGCAATACAATCTCTTTTTGAATATTACTACTACTTTTTTAGCAGCTACTTACTCGTGATCTTTACAAAATTTTCATATTTTTCAGCTGCTTGAAAGCCAAACTTTCCACGTGTAAAAGCTTAAGCTGCACCTGCACAATATGTCTATACACCTATCCTGTGCAAACTACCTATATTTGTATCAAAGTGTTTAATTTGCATATGCAAATCATATATTTGCTTGTAGTTGTCACATCATCATATGCACATGAAGGAGTTGCAGGTGTAAGTCATCATCTTAAATGAACAACTGACAGATAAAGAAAAAAGCCCTAACGGGCTTTACTATCTATACCAAATATTTATTTTTATATCTTACACTGTACATATTTTGTTGGATGTTTCTTATGGAAAACTATACAAGGAAAACTTCTAAATGCTATTTCAACCATTGATCATCAAGAAAAACCATAAGCCAATCTGAAGTCAATATTGAAAGTAAAATTACAAAAAAATCATTGCAGCAAGCTGATGCTGCTCATGTGTTTGGGTTTCAGTGAGATCTGTGGGCAAATATTCAAGACATAACATTATCCTAATAAATAAGATAAAAACATGGGATAAAAACATGGGATTTCATATCCTGTCCCTTCCATATTCTATAAGATTAAGACAGCTCCTCATTATTTTTAATATGCTCCTTGGGTTGGGATCTGATATTGTGGCTTACAAGAAGCAGACATTTTAACAAATAATTACATGATTAAAAGGCAACAGTGAATGCTTTATCTATTATTCATTAGTTAGCATTTTACTATAACTTGTTTATTAGAAAGGCAAAAAGAACTATAGAGTAAATGTACACTAATCAATAGGAGGTATTGCCGCTAACATAGTAGAGTCGTCTAGAATATGTCCTAATAACCATGTATCAAGTGCAAGATATAGAACACTCACCACTGAGCATTTAATTTCAGAAGATTTCTTCAACTGTGCAATTAGCTCACAAAAGCATACTCAGAACTGAACAGAAGGATATCAACATGGGACTTTATAGTTCAGAAAGTCTTCTATCACATTAAAACAGAGGCAGAAGTCAAACTCTTCTTAAAGAAACCACTGAAGAAAACAGAAAAAAAAAGCTTAAAAAAACCACAGGGAAATAACATATTGAAAGAAGAAGATGCTATAATATTTGATGCTGGTTTATGTATGTTAATAGTGCCTTCCATCAAAGGATAACAACACATCCTACAAACAAATTATAAAACCTACTGTTCTAATAATAATTTGAAAATGTAGAAACAAAGCCAAGTATATTTCTTAAGTTCCCTTTCAAAATTCCAGGGCCCATCTCCATGAGCTGTAGGTGGTTCTTCAGGTTCATGTAGGTATAATCTGCAGTACCTGTATGTGAAATGCCACCCCACCCACTCGCTCCTGTTTTGCACACACCTGCTCCTGCTTTGCACACATCAACCCAGAGAAACACAGACACCTCAGATGGCTCTGAACATGCACCAATGAACACATCCAAGACAGAGAGTTTAAGACTGGCTCTGGGGTGGTGCTCACAGCTGTTCTAAGGAGCCTTACATTGCCTCATTTTATGGAGCTCCTGAATGCAGAACACGAGTTGAGTAGGCAGGCATGCTTTATGGCAGCACACACTTGGCTTTCTTCATTCGATAGACCCAAAATTACATGTATCTGCAAACATTTATCAGATTAGGTGGGACTAACAGAAACTATCTCCCACCGTAAGTATTCTCACTGCAAAAACTCAAGACATTTTACAAGATACCATAGAAGTAAAAAGGACTAGAAATAAAGTCCATTTTCTCTTCTTCGGGTTTACTATAACCATCTCACTTCTTTCTCCTTTATCAGTAAATTCCTTCTGTCAACATGAACAAATGCATTCAGGCATAGGAGAAACATATTACTTTAAGTTTTTATTGAATTCATTATGAATACACAACAAGTCTTCTGACATGATATGACATTTGAGAAACATGTAATAAATGTGAATACAAATGAAGATGACTACTTAAGCTGAAAAGACAAATAGAGCTACTGTATCCTACTTGTACTTCTGCTTGCCACTTAACTGTGCTAGTCTCAGAAGTTTTTATGGTGACAAAGATATACTTTGTAGAAAGGTCTCTCAACATACAGAATAAGAAGGTCAGTTTATAAGGTCCAAACTGCAAAACCTAATTTTAATTTTCAAGACTTCCACTGAATAATCACTTGAAATAACCAAAGCACTGACATGTTTAATCCACGAATGAGGATAAATGCCCTTTAAGGATCATAATAAATTTGTTGACTCATTAGATGTGGGAAATCTGAAAGGGTAACACATACACATAGCCTTTATTGTAAACAGGTAGCTCCAATATTTGCAACTAAAAGCTGCAATAGGATCAATTTTCTTTTAATGCTAATATCACTTTACCCTCCTCTAGAAGTATAGACACCTTAAAATGAAAATATAAAAAGTGTATATGAGAATTAGGCTCAATATTTCCCATGGTACAGATTCCCACTAGCAACTCAAGCAATATACGTAATGAGCTAAAAGAAAGCTGAAGCATATGCAATTATGGAAGACGAATCCAGGGACTTCAGCAAGGGAACATAGTGCCCCAGTGTACTGAATATAGAGAACTCTGTCTCTATTAAATGGTTTTATGCTTTGTTCATGAGAAATGCTTAATTGTCCAGGCATCAGCATTTTAATTAGAGCACACTCTGGAAAAGTCTTGACTGTCTTTGGAGAACCTTGCAGGTGCTTTCTTTAAGACAATGAGTTTTAAGACAGTGCATTTGTTATGACCCGCAGATGTTCTGGAGACAGAATATGTTTGGGGGTGGAGAGAGAAGGGTAGAGGAGAGCCTTCTTTCTATTTGCATATATTTCTAACCCCATGAGTGAATTTTTGTTTGGGCAGTAGCACCTCAAAGACTAGAACAGTGGCAAGGGATTTTTTTTTTCTGTGGAGTCACAGAATGTTTTCTTGACAACATCTGTGGTTAGTGCATTGTTCAGAAAAATGCCGAAAGAGAAACATCTTTTAGAGCAAGGAGAAGAGCTTAAAAGCATTGCTGCTGCATGATGTGTTTGCCAATCCAGCGCTATTTACAGCCTGAACATAAGCATAGATTATATATCATCCCTTCTTTAGAAACAGTTGCTTCGACTTGTGCACACATAAACAAGACAAAGACAAAGGCAAAGATGCTTATTGTATCTAGGAACAATAGATATAACAACTAAAAGAAAAAAAGGGCAAGCTTCATAGCAGGAAAAGATGTCCTAAAATGATCTGTTACATAATCTGTTCCTGAAGGGCAGTGGTGAAATGTCTTAGTTAAGGAAATTTAGAGCTGAAATAAAACTAAAAAGTGAATGTTGCATTTCATCCAAGCCTCTATTAATTGTGTCCTGTCCATTCAGACTGAAGAGGTGTTTAGAAGAGCATGAGGCCTATACAACAGTCTTTCTATGGAGTCTAAAATTAAAACATGCTGGGCATATCTACGTGTGCATTAATGCTCTTTTCCTAGTGCACATTAAATTTAGTACCTCTGATGTGAGGTAGGCTGCCCTAATGCACAGTAGTGAAAGTGCATGCTCTTTTAGTGACAATGTATAGTAGGTTATTTTACAGTGCCTTAGTATAAAATCACATTTTTTATGCAACACTTTAATTAGCAGTAAAGTAGGCTACTGCATATTAAAGCACACGTATAGATGCACCCAATGACAGTGTTTTCTCCTAAGGAGCATTCTAATTAGTATAACTTAGAGCAGGCTTTAGGCTGCTATAAGTCCTTGATAATTAAAAATATGCTTAGCATTAAGTATCTGACTGATTTCCACTATTTTTTTAAGATTGTTTATGTGCCTAAACTTAATCAAGTCCTTAAATATTTTGAGGGCTACATTATACTCTGCATTCATGTGGAATGGAATACAGCAAAAATAGTATTTCTTGCACAATTTTTATCACATTTCATCCTAGTGCCTGCTAGAACCACAGATTGTAGAATATGAAGAAAATAATGATAGGGAAAAATTAAATGTTTTGCAAAGTTATTATTCAGCTAAATAAATAGAAAATGATGGAAGCTTAAAATGTTTTTAATATAGTTCTCTCATCTCTATTTAAACTATTCTAGGGCAGGTGCCTTACATGTGCTTTACTGTGTGTGTCTACACATGCATTTCATATGGGATCAGTTTACCCGTGAGTAAACCACTCATAAGTAAACTCCCCTGGGCGGGTCTCTACACATTCACAGAAGCAGGAACAGATATGCCGCTAATGGCAGCAAACTGCTCCCAGTACCTGGGTCCTTGCAATGGGCTGCGTCTAGCACCAAGGGGAGCTCTAGGCTCCTAAGAGGGAGGGAACTCCGGGCTAGAAGGCAGCTGTCTCCTGAGCAGAGCTGGGATATTGCAACCTGCCCCTGAGGGCTGCCTGCTGGTGGGGTGGGGACAATGTCTCCCTGCCCTGGCATCAGGGAGTTCCTGGCTCTGGCTTCCTGATCAGGGGCAGGGGACTTGGAAAGAGCTGCAGAAGAAGGGCAGGTCCTAGCCCCCTGCCCTGATGCACTGATCAGGGCAGGGAGCTGGGCAGGGAGCTGGGACCTGCACCACTCATGCAGCTCTTTCCAAGACCCATGCCTCAATCACTTGATCAGGGCATGGGGCTGGGACTTCTGTGAGTGCAGAGCTGTGGCATAAACTGGGGAGCAGAGATGAACAGGGAATAAGCTCTCCAGCTTGTTCCCCACCCAGCTCCACACTCAAGGAGCTGGGTGCAGAACAAGCTCCCCAACCCCTGCCAATGGAGAGTTCCCAGCTCCAGCTCAATGCCCATGGAGCTGAGAGGGTGCTGGGAGACCCTCATCTCCCAGTGCCAGCTCTGTGGTCATGGGGCCAGTGCTGAGAGATCCTTATTTCCCAGAGCCAGCTCTATGACTGTGGGGACAGCACTGGGAGACCCTTATCTCCCAGCACCTGTTCTACAACTGTGGAGCTGGTGCTAAGAGATCCTTATATCCCAGTGCCAACACTGATGCTGTGGAGCTCAGGCTGGGAGAGAAGGATCTTCCAGCACTGGCTCCACAACCATGAGCTGGTGTTGGGAAACAAGGATCTCCCAGCTCCAAGTCCCCATCATGATCTCAGAGCAGGCAGCTCCCAGGGGCAGGGAGCAATCTCCCAGCTCCTGGTGGATGGCTGAGCAGGAGCAAATTTGCTCCTGGTCAGTCATCTACACATATACTACTGCATTGTTACTAATCAAAAGTAAATTTGCTATTTGCATTTGGAAATTGCAAATTTACTCATGATTGTTCGGGGAATGGCGGCCCCAAGGTCACGGTGGGCCGAGGGTGGTATCGGATCGGAACAGTCGGGATTAGCGGCGAGGAGTCTGAGTGGTACAGGACACACCTGCGGTTTCAGAAGATGGATTTTATTTACTTACGCTTGGAAGCGTAGGCAGGGAACTTGCTTCAGTTACAGTTGCAATAAATGAACACGAACAACAAAGGGGTCTGTTGGCCCACGGGGTTCTCAAGTGAGCCCTTGTTTTCTAGCCGGAGCTAGGGGCAGCTGCCCAACTCGATAGTCCCAGGGCTGGTCAACAGCTCATTGATCGGAATAACAAATAACAGAACTGTAACACATAGAATGTCGTGACGCCAGTCCAATGTGGACGAACCCGGTGGTCGTTAAGATGCTGAAGTTGATGTGGAGGTTGAAGTTACAATGTCGTAGCCAGTGGTCAAGATGCGGGATCGTGGTCAAGGTCGAAGCCGGAAATTAGTTCGTTAGCCAGAGATCAATACAGAATAATCAGATCAAGACGAATCGAATAAATCACAAGATCATAGCTGTGAGGAGACCAGTGGGCCCAAAGCCCTCCTGAGGAGCAGTCCCTGCAGCCGCAGCCTCTGCTCTCAGGATTGGTTCGATCTCTTCCTGTGAGACAGTCTCTGCTAAGGCAGTATCTGTTGAACAGGTTGAGCGTGGTCTCCCTCCTGAGGAGCAGTCCCTGCATTAGCAGCCTCTGCTCTCAGGGTTCGGACAGGAGACCAGTGGGCTTAAAGCCGTCCTGAGGAGTAGTCCCTGTCAGGCCAGCCTCTGCTCTCAGGACGAATCTTCCCTGTCAGCACCGCTGTCAGAACCCCCCAAAACTCTCTCCTCTCTAACTTTTTCTCGCTAACTAACTCCCCTTTTGGAGGGGCCCACAAGCTCTCTATAACAACCGGGCAACCAATCAGGTTGTCTTCTCTAAAGAAATTTCTAGTCCGATTATGTCATGCAGTCCATGGACTGAGCATGCGTCTGGTCAGATTACTTCATCTGTTGAGCAGAACTGAGCGTGCGTGTTCTTACAAAACTAGGTCAGCTTTGGTTGACAAGCCAAGGGTCGCATAGGGGGCACATGCTGGGCACGCTGTGGAATTTTCCATAGGCCTTGTCTGCTTGTCTGCGCATGATTGAACTTAACTCTCGTGTTGCCAGCATACACTTAAAATTTGGTCCAGACAATGATTAGTGAGGTTTACTGTGTAGTAAGCATGTGAAGGTGTAGATGCACATGCTTAATGTGCAGTAAACTACACTACTGTGCAGTGAAGCTTCTTGTGTAGATATGCCCAGTGTGCAGTAGACTAATTTACTGTGTAGTAAAGTGTCACCATCTACACATCCACAGCAACTGGGCTGGTGTAGACTAATTTACAGTACCATCAGAAAATCCTGTCAGACACAGGTACTGTCTGACAGCAAAGTAAATTATTACCCTTAAGCACATGCGTAAATGATGTAGTTCGAATTAGTTTACTCTGGATCCAATTGCACCAGAGTTTATTCAGTCACATTAACTGCACATGTAGATGCACCCCTAGAGAATATATCACATATAAGCTTCCTATATATTGTATGGAACAGTATGCCAACCTTGCAGCCCCAGAAACTGGCATAAGAAGCAAGGGGGAGTTCCCACTTTTATATATAAAACCATAGATCACAAGCCAATGGGCCAAAGGGAGGGAACAGGTAAAAGGTAAAGAAACACCAACAGTTTGATAACATATACTCAGCACCTTAATTCCCTCCCCACAGCACATCTGGACGTGTCCCCAAACAAGCCTCTAGTTTCTAGAGCACTCAAACAGCAGCCTGCAGCTGCCCGCAAGTCTGAGTCCAGCTCCTTCAGTCTACATTCCTGAATGACTGAGCCAGTGAGAACTCCAGCTCCACTTCTTCTGTGTAGGGCTGACCAGGTTCCACATGCATGTGGCTCTCTCTTTCCCTTACTCCACTCTCAAGCTTCCTCTTCCTTTGTCCCTTGCCTCCCAGCCTCCACAGACTGTCCTTTGGTTCTGCCTGCTGTTACACACATTACATTCACATTGAAATAGTTTGGCATAGAGGGAGAGGAGAGACCCTATATTACAAATAAATACTTCAACTTAAAATTTCCTGGCTGTTTAATATTTGTGGTCTGCAAGATTTCAGTGATCTTTCAAGGTTTCCCTCTTTTATATAACTTATATATATAAAGCCTAAACATGGCTTTCTATGATCCCTGGGATCCTTGTGTGGTTTGGAGAGAGATAGATTATTGAAACCAATGAAAGTCCATTAGACCATTTGTAAGCCTCTCTGCATTGGCCAATATTTCAGACATTTAAAAAGTTCATAGGTTGAACTTATAACTGTGCCTGGAGGTTAGCAATAGGCACTATTTGTCAAAAGTAAAGCACTTGAAAGTTCTAGATTAAACTATTTCTGAGATGTGATGTGCCAGCAAAGCATTATCTCTAATGAAAAATGCAACCCACATCCCCAAAATGGTTTGGCTAGTTACCAGAGGAAAGGGATGCAGATATGGAGCTACTTACGGCAGTAATATACTACCTGGAAAGTCCTCAGCTGCCTTGTGAAAGATGGTTTACAAACTGTTCACACTGAGCAGCACAAGGAGCACAAACAGGACTAAGCACATGGCCCTGCTCTTATCTAATATCAGACATCATTTGGTCTGCAAGTATGGCCATTATTTTCCCCCTTGAGACTGGTCATCTTTACTTCTTTGTGTGAATTCTAAGTAATTGATTACAGTAGTGTCTGCAAACTCCTGAACTGCTTGGGAGTTCTTGGATCTCAGATTCTCAGCAGGAATAAATCTCTTGTACCACAAGAGCAAAACTACACAGTAGCCGGGTCTACACAAAATGCTGACTGCACAATAGGTTGTTACTACTGCATAGTAACATCACATGACATGAAGTGTGATGCAAGGCAGCTGTGCAGTATTAAATGAGCAGCTGTGCAGTAAGCATCATCAAAAAGCCATTCACAGATGCTACTGTGCAGAAATGTTAGTTACCGCACAGTCATTTAGTACTTGTTTATGCAAGTACGAAGTGACTGTGTAGTAACAACTGTACAGTCATCGTCTTGTGTAGACACAGCCAGTGAGCACATCTACAGATGCAGTTACTGTTCAGAAAGCTTACTGCACAGTAACATACTGTACAGTAAGATTTCCCTGAGTGCACATCTATGCATGCACCCA